TTTGTTCATATAGTGCATGTTTATTTACTTTCTACAGCTATGCAAGTCTATATTAAGACAGCATTAAATATTTACTTTAATCTGTACTTTCAATGTTAAGAATCAAAAGATTTTTAAACATGTAATTTTAAATGTGTTTAACACACTCCAAGAAAGAAAGTAATTTCGTTAACTAAAATTAATTAATGCAGCAATTTAATTAAAATAAATTTTAAAACTAAGAAAAGAAAATAATAAAAGTATCAATAATTTAAAGCACTGTTTTTTAACTTTTAAAATCAATATAATATATATATAAAAATCAGTTGATTTAAATCAATGATTTTTTTAAAAAAATCATTTGATTTTAATCATGATTTAATCGTGATTTAAATCAAGCTGATTTAAATCAACGAACCCTGTCTATGAATAAACCATTATGTACATTCTCTTCAAAGCGGACGTTCCCGTAACCGGACGTGGACAGTCATTTTCCTCCTGAAACGTTATTTTCTATCTCTTCAAACCGGACACCACTTTTTCTAAATGTGAAAAATAAAATCTATTTCTACTTTAAATTGCAAGAAAAAAATATACAGTTTTTCGTCCATTTTTAAAACATGTAAATTTTTTGCCTTATCCATAGCTAAAAATGTTGTTAAGCTATTTCAGTACTAAAGAATCAATCTTTCTCCTGTCACCTGGTCAAATCATCACCTCATCAAATTCGAACAGCAGCATCTTTTGATCTTTTCATCTGGATGATATAGGTTCTGAAACTTCTCAAGTTGAAATGACATCTTAAATGCTCTCAATGCTTCTTCCCCACTGAAAATAGCTTTCATTTTCTTATCATTATGAAGACTTTATTTAACACAGCTGGGGTTAAAAAAAAAAAAAAGAGAACAGAATGAGGTGTTTATATAAATGAAACATTTATTCAGACACTTGTTAGATGATCATGATCAATTGTGAATAATCAACTCCATAGGTCCTCATGGCTTACAGGTATGCATTGCTTTTTTTTCTATGAATCGTAAGAGGTTTACTTTCAAGGAGATATTAACCATGTTTCCTATCAAGTGATGGGCAGGCGTTAGGAGATGTAAACCTACTAATTGAAACCGACTGAGGATGAAAAGATCCTATTTGGTATCATATGTCTCAACTTGAATATCTGTGCTAATAGGAAAATTATATTCATTTATCAGTAGCTACATCCAGAATTGTGTATTTATATCAAATTTTTTTTATATTTATTCTTTTTATCAAAAAAATAGTTTTTAAAGTTTAAATAAATATCCTTACTGATAGTTATTGTAGAATATTTAATTATTTCTATATCTTCGAAAATATTCTAAAAACAATTTATGGTGGTTATTATAGTACCCTTCCCGTAAACAGACAACTTTCACAAACGAACGATTTTTTGGTTCCCAAGAATGTCCACTTAACTGAGGTTTCACTGCACATGCCTATATGTACCAATGAATGGCATTGTTTACATAAATGTGGGTAACAGTAAAGCTTAGTGTGAGGTGAAGAAAAGAGGCCAACCCGGAAGAGCTATTTTCTCTTATGTGCAACATTGTTTTCTGTGTTCATTCATTTGATAATTTTTTCTCACTTTTATATTCTGTTATAAACTCTAAATTTACATAAATTAGCTTCAAGTTTATAGACAATTATTTATATCTCTTCGAATTTCTCACCAAAAAAAAAGAAAAAGTCTTAAAATCAAATTAATTTTAGGTAATAAGCTAAACTAATTTCTTTTACAGTTCACACAGTTTGGAAAAGGTAGTCATTCATTTTGTCAACAAAAAAAAAGCCCTTTATTGCAATTTACTGCAATGGCAGTGAGAATTTTGACTAAAACACACTAGGTATTTATTTTTCTATGTAAATATAGTAGATAACTGTTAATAATTTTTCATAGTCAATATAACAAAAAAATTCTCGACTCAGATAACTCAGTTTTGCTTTTTCTCAAAACTGCCACTTTGAAATATTAATAATTAACAATGTTATACTGACAAAGGAAGTGAGCAATACTAAAATCTAAAATTCCTATCAAAACAAAGTTAAGCTTAAATTACAGAGCATGTTTGAAAATTGGAGAGGGTACATATTAACCATCTAATCTGCCCTTAGGGTAATTAATGCTTACCATACCTAATTGAAGTTTCAGTTTAATTACTTCTAAATTAACAAAATCTTCACAACTTATGGTGTAACAGACTGTCTGTTTTATGCCAGAGAAGTCCCAAGATCAAATCCCAACTAGGACGGTTGAATTTTATCTGTAATTTTCTTTTCTAGAAAGGTTGATAACTATTAAATATGTTTTATTCAAATACGACCCACTGGAACAAGAAAGGTGAAGGTCGCGGTTGAGAAAGGCTGATTTGATGGAGTCTGATTTTCTTGTAATTAATTAAAAGAATTGGAGATCAAAGATAAATCGGAAGTCATTATGGAGAAGTCTTCAGAGCCCACTATGGGCTGTCTGGCCAACTTTGATGATGAGGATGATTCAAATTTAAATTAATTTCGGTAACATATTTAAATTTGTAAAAATAAATATATAATACATATTTAATTTCCTTTTTAATATTAAATGAACCTAAGTTTTTAACCATAACATTTACTTATAATTTACTTTAAATAATTAGTTTATACTTAAATACTAATAAATAATCAGCATTTACTTTAAATTATCTGTTTGAAAGTTTTAGCTTGTTTAAAAGTAAATTAACTGAAACTTTAAACATATTTTACACTAGGGGCAGATAAGGTGGCTAATTTGCACCCTATAAAAAGTACCCTTAAAAGTACCTATTAAAAAACTTGTATACTTCCCTTGTGAGTAACTTTAAATTAACCAAAGTTTTTTTTTTTCCTAATATTTACTTATAATTCTTTACTCTCTGAAAAATATCCTCCAGTATTTCAAATAGTCAGGAACACTGATGAAAGATTTGTTATTTTACAAATGTTTCTGAGGGTTGTTGACACTTGGTATAGACTATTTAAGTGGAAACCAGTTTCAAAACAAAAACATACCTTTAGCATTACCAAAGTAACAAAAGCACTATTTAAAAAATAATAATTTAAAAGACTAGTCAAGTAGAAACAGACAGAAACTTTTTTAAATATATCTCTTATAAAGAGTCCAAAATAATCAACACTAAAGTGTTAAAATAATTTAATATCATTTATTCAGGCCTCAGTAAATATATATTTCAACTATAAAAAGAATTAGTTGATATAGGTACTATTTACAGACAATATTCATAATTTTAAATTTTTAAAATATATATAAATTTTAAAGAAAATTATTAAGAACATATATAAATTATAGATTCTATAATAAAATTAACATCAATTATTTATAGCAATTCATCAAAGGACATTTCATAATTTCGTTGCAAGAATGGCATTCTGACATAAGAAACTTGAAGAAAAACACAAGATGACGATCGATATTTATCACAATATGAGAACACAAAAAAAAAACTTTTTTTCATAATCGAGTTTTTACTTACCAACTTCTTTCCACATAGCCATGTGAGTAGCTAAAAAACCGTCTCTAATAGCACTCAATATCATTTCATCATCCTCTTCCCAAAAGTGTTTAAGGGTCACGATATTATCCAACAAATTATTTTTTGCATATTGAGCAGCCTCCTTACCACCATGGCCATCAAAAATTCCAAAAAATGCATATTCCAAATCATTTTTATCTTCTGTATGTTGATATGCGACAACAAAGGCATCTTCCATATACTTTCGTCCACCCTGACTACTTTGACCAGTTACTCTCAAATTTATTTCAGATGAAGACATCGTTATTACTATAACTTTTCAATTTAAAAACAACATATGAAATCTTTCTATTTCATTACACTACCTCACCCACGGGTAAAGAAAGCGCAAGCGCACTGTCCGCAATCGAGCAAGAACCTGCTTGTTTTTTTACAAAATTTAAACTGAATTGCCGTGTTTTACTCTGAAAAATTAACGAAATAGCACGATTTAAAGAACAATGTACTCATATGTTTACATCAGTTACAAAACGTTTTTAACAATCAGCACAACAGTAAACAAAATACAATCAAATTTATATTTACGTAAATTTCAATAATATATTCATCGAAATTTAAAATATTTTCCTTATCATATCAATTATCTTGCATAACATCAAATTGAGAAAAATCGATATAAATTAATTATCCTTATCGAAATATCGATTTCTGCATTCTATTTAATCGTTTATTATTCCATAAGAATTGCCATCTCGTGGGTAAGAAATGAAACTATTAAAGAGGTCTCGGAAATATGAAACACAGGAATCGTAAAAATATTCTAGTTAAACATTACAAGAGTATTCAACAAAAATTGTTAAAATAAAAATATATTTGTTTTGGAAAACAGAATTATTATTTTCCAGTTAATATTAATTTAATTTATATTAATATATTATTTTCTAGTTAATATTAATTTAATTTATATTAATATGCTATTTTCTAGTTAATATTAATTTAATTTATATTAATATGTTATTTTCTAGTTAATATTAATTTAATTTAAATTTATNTCGAACAGATGGCGTATTCGAGTGTTGCGATCGCGAATAAATAGCTAAAATAGGAGATTATACTCAAAGGATTAAAAAAACTACTTCACGAAATCATACTTATTAGTATTAGTCTCTTACCGATAGATTGTAAGTTAAATTTAGTTGATTTATTTATGAATGGTAATCATACGTAATCATACTTATTAGTATTAGTCTCTTACTGATAGATTGTATGTTAAATTTAGTTGATGTATTTATGAATGGTGATATCGGCTAAAAACCTAAATTCTAATTCAAATAATATAGCCTCCTAGAACATCAAGTCAGTTCACAATTTTCCAAGTAAACACATTATAGTCCACACCGGTTTTTTAAACTTTGCTTTATTTACACTCAATTAAAAATAACAAAAGTCATTAAAGTGTTTGTTGGGAATCTCGTTTGGTTCTTGACATCGCTCTAGTGCAACTAAACAGGAAGCAGAACCCCGAATCAAACTAGTAGACAAAAACTATTCCGACCACACCACTTGGAAGACACATTGTGGTTTGCTAAAACATTTATCTCACTCTCCATAGGTCCCGCAGTGGACTGATCGTTAAGACACGGTTCCCAGAAGATCACCGAAGTCAAGCATCACTGGCTGCGGTCAGTGTGTGGGTGGGTGACCACTTGGATCAGTCTGCGCAGGGACAGAGGGTGCGCGGTATTGGTCCTCGTTAAACTGTGCTACCGTAAATTGCTCGACTTCACGTGCAGGTCGTTGGGCTACCGAAGCGGGGGTGCCATCCCCTCTGCAGAGGATCAAAATTGTGATGGCATGTCTTCGGATCATCCTCAGGGATGTTTCCTAGACCGTCACCAATAGCTCATTGTTCAGCTCTAGTGCGATGTAAATGAACAACAACAGCACTCTTCATACTCTGGAAAGAGATTCAAGCTATTCTATCTAGAAATGAGTTCTATTCATCTAACTGAGTGCCTTAGAAAATCTCCTTCAGGAGCTATTCACATTTCATCCGATTGTCTTAGACGTGCAGGTTCGTATGCGATTTTTTTCGTGCTATGAAAAATCGTATTCAGTTTGAATGACCCTTTAAAAAACTTACGCCATATGAAAGATGAATTGCACTCCATCGCATGAGCGAATCGTTCTAATAAAGAATTCTTTCTTATTATTCATGAGTGGAAAGTAGCTTTTTTAATGTTCACCAAGATTGAAGCAAAGGTATACACTTAGACTTTAAGGTTGCCTAATTACACCAAAGAAAGAAAAAAATAAATCGTGTTGTCTACTTCAAAAACATTTCATGGTGATAAAGTTAAATGAAATTCACTAACTAATTCGCAAGAAAACCATATTCAATCTGACTTCATGATCACCTATTAAACAAATATAGTACATGAAAAATTATATGCTTTAAATTTCAGATAAAACCGGTTTTAAAAGATGCCATGAAGCAAAATTCTAATAAAAAAATTATTAAAGGGTGCGCACGATGGCTTTATTCAATATGACGGAATGATCACCAACTAATTAAATTAGGAAAAAATTTCTAAAATAAAGATTTCGATGCATAAGAGTTAATAAAATTTTGAAGGTTCCATGCCTTTTACTAATTTATATAAAATCAAATTTGAAAAAATTCCGTGGAGTAAAAAAAAATAATAACTATAATAATAATAACAATAATATTTTCTTCAGTTGTTTCTTGTTTAATCGGAAATTAATATTTAAGTTTGTAAAATTATAAATTTCAAACTAAAATTATGAATTTTAGTTGAAAATGCTACATGAATCATACCTCTGTCTGAATGGAAGGACATCTGTTCAAAATAAACACAGTTTCGAAAAAAATCTCGTGAACTAGGAAAAAATAAAAACTATCCCCATTCCAAAAAGAGAAGAAGAAAAAATGTATAAAGAAGAAAGTCGCCAATCTCAAGGATAAAAAAAACTATGATGCTTAAAAATGTAATACAAGTTGCCTCACTTGGTACTTTTTATTTACGTCACACTATACCTGCACATTAGGCTATTGGCAACAGTCTGGAAACATCCCTGAGGATGATCCGAAGACAACATGCGTCACATCCAGTTTTATAGGAAGAACGCATTCACACACCACCCATCCATCTGCAGATCGCAATTTTGAGCTGAACTAGCGCACTATCAAACTCCGATCCAGTATCCCCTCCAGAGGTTTTGATTTGTTATGGGACGCAATCGAGTTGCTTCACAATGAAGAAAAAAACTGACGTATTCCTTTATAATAAACAAAAATCTGCATGAAATTTGTCATTAAAAATGCAGTGATCAATGCATGTCATACTCTACTCGACAGATTCCTAAAAGTAATTGCTGTCTGAGGATCGAACAATTAAAACTTAATGCGCCACTTTGGTTTAGATTTCAACCATTAGTTCCACTCCCATAAAAATTTATGCTTTTTTAAGTTTGGAGTCTCTTATTTCTAATGAAAGAAAAAAAAATTCTTTTTTTTTTCAATTTGACTCAAACTTAACCTAATTTGTAGTATATACTATTTAAACAATAGTGATTGATTTTTCTTTAAAAAAAACGAAAAAGAAGATAAGTGATAAGGAAAAAGCGCTGTTAGGAAATTTCAATAATGTTTACTTATTCTCCTCGACAAACAAGATTTTTCTTTTTAAAGGATATTGCTGATACTTTCTGATGATATTAATATTTTTCTTCTTATTATTATTTTTAAATTTAGTTAACCTGATTGAAATAAAATCAATTTTAGCTCTACCATAGGAAATTTTATTAAGCAAATTTATTTCCGTAAGAAGATGTTGAACAACTGGAGAAAATCGAAAATAATATAGAAGTTGAAAAATACATAAAGAGAGTTTCAATAAATACAAATTATGTTCCAGTAAGGTTTTATCTTATATTTTATAACCGTCGATGAACAGCCGATCAAATTTTTTGGATTTACCACTGCTAATGTTCACCTCCGTAGCCTTGTAATTTTGAACCCAATCCAGAGGAAAAGGGAACTCCTGGATCAAGTATTAGAAATTTGCCTTTGTGGAGGACTTTTCAATGGAACTAGCAAGCATTTGCGTCAGATGGAGAGGGAAACCACAAAAACCTCCCAACGTTAGCCTGACGGTAAGGGGACTCTGACCCATGATACATCTACCACTGAGGATATTTTACGTCAGCAGCACTTTGGTCGGGGCAAGTGGGATGCGGAATTCGTATCGACCAGCCATCGCTGCGATTCGAACCAGGTTTACTTCATTGGAAAGCGAATGCTCTAGCCCCTGAGCCTCGAGTTAGGTTTGACACTAGCCTCGAATTAGGTTTAACACTATCAGGGCCAGCGTTTAGTAATTGCCATCTCGCCAAATGCGATAAAATCACAAATTCGGCGAAAAAAATTGTGTTTTGGCGAAAGTAATGGAGAATAATTTTTTTCTACCGAAAAGAAGAAATTATATTCCCCTCAATCCTGAAAAATATATGTACATTAAAAAAAAGGGTAAAGGGAAATTTTTCTGAACAAATCCTGTATTTTTTAATCGATTACAGCAATTTTCGTTAGATACGTCGCATTACCAACTAGAATTATATTTAATCGAGATAATGCAAACAAGTGAGAATGTCAGCTTGAGAAACAATCCTAAAATACAATTTATCGTGTCCATTGCCGGATCACGCGATATCACGTGAGAAATTTTTCATAAAGCTTGTGTCAGCGAAACAGAATATGTGATAGCAAGATGCTTATTATCTTCCAAATATTTTTGATGAAGAATCTAAATATTTTTGCTTGTGACAATAACATGTGCAATAACATAATGTTGTCTTAGGTTTATCCTTATATTACTGCTCTAATCTAAGAAGTTATCAAAAATTAACCTCAGCCTGTTCCTATTTCTTTCCCTCAAAGCCTCCTTCCCTCAAGATTTACATTTTTCATCATTACCCCCATTCATTGCTCATTTAATCCTCTCTTACTGCAAAATGACTCTTGATTCGAATTTCCATTTTATAAAATAATTCAGTTTATAGTAAAACTGTATTTTCATTTTAAGTTTTTTTATGTTTTTTAGCATAAAAACTTAATTATAAGAAATTGTCAAGATTTACCTCTGACTAAGAATTTTGAATATCGACTTATATTTTTGATATTCGGCTAATTTGCTAGCTAATGATTTGAACGCGGGCCCTGCGCTATATAAGTCAAATAAAAGACATTTCAAAATTTTCTCGAGATGTAAGTGAATAAGCAAATAAATAAATAAGCAAATAAATAAAAAAATATTAAAGTAATTTTTTTTAATTCCCGAAAATTTTTGTGAGAAACCCGAGGTTATCAGAATTTAGGAAAAGTTACCAGATGTTCGTTAGCGTAGCACTTTTTTACATTGTGTGCTTTAAACACTTTTGAACAAATCATTCGAATAAGGGATACCTTTCTCTCTTAATTCAATAATTTAAGAGACGTTGTGGCTCAGGGGATAGAGCGTTCGCATTCCAAAGAAGTGAACAGAGAACAAATCCCAGTGATACGAATTCCGCCCCTCGAATCACACCGACCACAGAACTGTCGTAAAAATATCCATAGGGGTAGTGTAGAGTGATCATGGACCCTAATGTCGTCGGGCTAACCACTGGAGGTTTTCGTAGTTTACCTCTCCATGCAAAGCAAATGCTGGTTAGTTCCCTCAAAAAATCTTCCCCGAAGGCAATTTTCTCCCAATACTTGATCCAGGAGTTCCCTTGTCTTCTAGATTGGGTTCAGAGTTACAAGGCTACAGAGTTGAACATTAGTAGTCGTAAACCCTAAATTGGGTCGGCTGTCCAACGACGATTATAAAATATAATTCAATTATTTAAGTTGATTTTTTTATAAAAAGAATAATAATAATGGATACATAATGTAAACTTAAGCTTTAACTTATTCAACCTCAACGACGCGCTCAAATCTGTGGTGCATGAAGACGCATGATCTAATTATTCCCATTTTTTCCCTTTATCTCTCTGTTCCTTTCTCAAGACTCGTTTTTAATTTATGTTTATTTATTTTTTCATGGTTTCAACCAAAATGAAGTAGATTTTCTTTACGCACTATTTGATGATTGTATAATAATTCATATTAAAAGTAATTACTATCCCTTCTGAGTCTTTTATATTTTAAAAAATTCTGATAAATATTGTGATTTGCATCTGGTATCATCTAATCCCTTTCTTTTAAACAAAATCTTCTTTTTTTTTTCTTTAAACTTCTAAAAACAAAAATCAAATTTAGAGTGAAAATTATTTAATTCTTTGCAAATACTGCATTTCACAAAATGATTTAAAATTACCAATTTAAAACTATTTTATTTTAGAAAATTACTTTAACTAGAAACTGTACTTAACAGAACATAATTTAATATTTTTAAACGTATTTTAAGAGAACGTCATTAAATATTTTAATATTTTAAAAAGTAATTTTAACTAGATACTGTACTTATAAATCTCAGACTTGAAGAATTATTTTTCGCCTGACTTAAGAAATAATAAAACATAAAATTTAATGTAATAAAAATTTAATAATCCATGTCCAAATCTTTACACATAATATATTATAACAAAAGAACATGCATGAAATTAACCCTATTGTCAATAATTTCCAAGTTACATGAAATTAAAGCATTGATTCAAATTTAATGATTCTGTTGAGATTAAATTTACATTAATCTTAACGATAATAAACGACTTCGATCATCTTAAAAAATTTGAAACATTTCCTTTCCTTTATGCTATATACATCGTCCACAATAAATAAGTTCTAATGTTTCATTTGAAAATCAAATTTAAAAAATAAAATTACGTTACAATTACGTTAAAATTACGTTAAAATTACAAGGAGGGCTTGTATATTTTCTTAAACGGGGGTTTTAGTTTAAATTTTATAATCAATGATATATATCGGTACTTAAAATGTTGAATCGGCATTGTAAATGACACTTTCAATAAGATGAACAATTCAACACATTGTAAATGACACTTTCAATAAGTTGAACAATTGAACACATTGTAAATGACACTTTCAATAAGATGAACAATTCAACACATTGTAAATGACACTTTCAATAAGTTGAACAAATCAACACATTGTAAATGACACTTTCAATAAGTTGAACAATTCAACACATTGTAAATGACACTTTCAATAAGTTGAACAATTCAACACATTGGAAATGACACTTTCAATAAGATGAACAATTCAACACATTGTAAATGACACTTTCAATAAGATGAACAATTCAAAACATTGTAAATGACACTTTCAATAAGAACAATTCAACACATTGTAAATGACACTTTCAATAAGTTGAACAATTTAATTGTTCCACACCGGTATTCTAAGAGACACTGTGGGGAGAGTTGTTATTGACAATGTCAACCTTCATCTATGAAAAGGTACAGCAACATTTAATCGAGTTAAAATGTCTTATATACTATTGAATTGGGATTGTATTTTTGTAGGGATAGACGCACTACAGTACTCCCCCACCAGAATTATAGCTCTGATAGAATTCAATGAATGGTTACCACTAGTTGATTCATTGCTGTTTTGTGAAAAACCGGGAGAGCTGTATTAAGATCACCGTACTTTTGAGTGCTGATCGTGAGAGCTGTATTAAGTTCGCGGTCGTGGTCGTTCCTGTGCTGTACGTTGTGTGTGATAGAGACTGAGTAGCTAGTGGATAATGTCCCAGTCGCAANTATTTTTGTAGGGATAGACGCACTACAGTACTCCCCCACCAGAATTATAGCTCTGATAGAATTCAATGAATGGTTACCACTAGTTGATTCATTGCTGTTTTGTGAAAAACCGGGAGAGCTGTATTAAGATCACCGTACTTTTGAGTGCTGAGCGTGAGAGCTGTATTAAGTTCACGGTAGTGGTCGTTCCTGTGCTGTACGTTGTGTGTGATTGAGACTAAGTAGCTGGTGGATAATGTCCCAGTCGCAATGCTCAATGCGGACCATCCATTGAAGTAGGCTTGTTCACATCGAAGTGAGCGTTGCTGTCTAGATAGGCATGTTCACGTCACGTTCTAAGTCCAAAGGTCACCAATGTGGAGTGAGTCATATTTACAATGTCCACTTTCATCTATGAAAACGAACCCCAAAATAGAATTAACGTGTCTTATATACTAGTGAATTGGAATTGTATTTTTGGAGTGGTAGACACACTACAAAATGTTTTTTTAAATTTTACATTACAACACTTTCAATAAGTTGAACAATTTAGCACATTCCATGGATGTATACATTCTGTGTACTATTCACGTACAATTGAATTGTACATGTTCTACACATAACAAGATTTTAAGTTGAAATATATTATCGTGTAAAAATATTCATTTTCATATTAACTCGATTTAACTTAACACAGCATTTAATTCAATTTTTTAGCGATTCATTTCGATAAATCTCATTTTCGGTTTTACTTTGTGGAAAAATTATCTTAAATAGCTCAGCATTAAATGAGTTCTTGGGTAATAATTTTAAATGAGAAATCATGAAAAAAAATGATTTAAGCTCGCCAGATATTTTTTTAAAAAGGAAACTGCAATCCTTCTGAAAGTTTCTAGCAAAATACTTAACATTTATAGAATTTTAAATATACAACTTCTTTAAAATTCGATTTTCCGGAAACTATTCGATCCATTTCGTTCAATTTTTTTTCCATATAAAATTACATTCCTTAAATTATAGTAAAAAAATTGTATGCTTTTTTGTATTGTACACCGGCATTGTATACTTTTTAAGGTAAACTAAATTCGGATGGGAGGTTCTGTGTCATCCACCATCCTAACTTCCTGACATTGCACCACCTGATTATCATTTATTAAAAAAGATTCAACATATTTCATGCAACAAAAGTTTTTGAAATTATGTTGTTTAGCAAAATGCTATCTCCAAGTATTTTTTATGAAACGAATTCATTTTCACCAATCTGTTATTAAGAACTTGCACGCACATTAAATAGCAAAAATTTGTTGTTAACGAGAATGATTCATTGATTGAAAGGGAAACTTTTGATCGAAAGGAATTTACTAGCATTGCTTACTTATTATGTCGATAATTAATTCATTAATTCGAAGTTATGTTAATAATGAATAGTACTTACAAAGGAGTTATATAATAATTTGATTATAGTTCTTCTCATTTCTATGTCCTATTTATAGGGAATATTATTCATCATTGTTATTCATTATTTGTTCTAAGACTTTAAAATTAATCACAATAAATTACATTTCGAGATCATCTTTTCGATGCAAAGTTCTATATTTCTTTTCTCATATTTATTTATAATAAAAAGGTAAAAACCTTTTATACCTACATATTTTGACTTATATAGCTGTGTTCATATATCAGAAAATGAACCCTTTTTTCTTTGCATATTTTATTTAAATATTCAGATTTTTTTTAAAAATGCTTACAAACGCTTCTTATTTTCATTTAAGTCTCTTATTTAATAGAACACAAAACCTTTTAAAGTTCTTTTGGGCTTCGAATAAATATTTATTAATAGTAAGTAATGCATAACAACACAAATATATTTAAAGTAATTTTCATCAAGAAAATATATTATGTGCGCCACATGATTTTGGAATTTATTTTACAACTTGATAAAGATTCTAAGTATGCTAAAATTAAGAAAACATTTAGAGAATAGCTCTTGAATCACGTGAAATTGGGCTATAATAATAATATTGAAAACAGTTTAATTAGAAAACAACAGTTATAATAACATCTTATCTTTCTTCCCTTTCAAGTTACACCTTATATTAAAACAACTCAAATTCTACTGCTTTGAAATAAAATGATTCGTTCCAAAAAGAGAATTGATATAATTTTACAATCGTTTTCTAATTTTTCTTTTAAACTTCTGTTTTAGAGTATTAATACGAATATGAAGATAGTTTTTTTATTACAATTTTTTAAGCAGTATGTTCATAATTAAGTTCTAATTAAAGTTATGCAACAAACGATAAGTCTATACGTTTTCAAGAAAACAACTTTATTTTGACCTTGAAATTCGAAATATTAGTACAAACAAGTATTAATAAACGTTGAAACTTAAAAGCTTTATTCAATAACTTTTTTTAACATAATCATTGGGAAGATTTGTATCATCGTGTGGCAACAAGGCACGATTTCTAGGTTTTTCGCTCAAAGCCTGGCGTTCACAGCGCCGTCATTACATCGTCTGCTCTTCGAGAGAGGAGACTCACTTCGATTTGTGAGGGTGGATCAAACGTTCGGCGGAAGGGGCTACGCGCAGACGACTTTGAATTGATTTAACTTAGTTTTGAGGACCAGGATATTGGATTAATATTCGTCAATTAATCTCCGCTGCTATCAAGGGGTGACACGTTTTCCCTTTTGAGAGATTTTACTTATATTTTTTATATGGTATCTTTCAAATGCAGAGAAATAGATTAATTTAATAATATACCTTTTTATATCAAACTTAAAGCCTTATTTACTCCGTGTTTCTTTAAATTGTTGTTAAAATATTAAACAGTAAATCGTTTTCAAAAGCATATCAGCGTCAAAAAAAAAAAAGTTTTTTGAATCAAAATATATATTTTTTGGACTTTTTAAAGCTTCTATGAGGAATAAATAAGGTTCTGTATTGAACGAGCACTCTTTTTTTTAATGCTTGATAAATGCAGTTTTTCATATCATTTATTAAAAAAAGCTGCAGTGTCGATAGATACAAAGTTTTTCCAAATTAAAAGAGCATTCTGATATAATCATCGAATTGAAAGAATAAAGTTTTTATTGTCCAATATAACATGTTCCCACCTGGCAAAAAGTAAAGTAACAAAAGTGAAGTTTTGTGCAAGTTGACGCAATGCCTTGGATGTGTATTTTAGGAAAAGTTTGCAAGGAACAATATCGAGATTTTCTCAAGTTTTTAACCACCAGTGTTTAAAACAATGTGAAAATAAAAAAGAGCAATTTTTATGAACTGTAATACGTGTCAAATGCGTTTCCCACTTGTGATTGTAGAGCAAATATTTAAGATTAACAGCTGAAGAAATATGGATTGGGATTATTATTTGAATATGGAGCTGGGTAAGTAAATGAATTAGACGTATTTAAATCTTTCTTAGATAAAAATAACATAATTTACTCTTTATTGATCTTAAGCTTTCCTTATTGTAAAGGAATTCCATCAGTGAAACATTTTCCTTTAACTTTTTTCCTCTTTTTGCTTGTAAAGATGAAAAGAAATACATGTTTATTGATGTATTTTGAGATAAATTAATACATTGTAAAATTTGGTCGAATTATACAGTTAAAATAAAAGAAAAAGGTCATAAAATGTATTTCATTTAAAAAATCCTCCATTATTCATTAGAAAAAAAATATATATTTGAAATATATAATGTATTATTATATAGTACATAAATAAAAGTTCAACTAAACTAAACTATTTCGTTTAAAATGCAATCATTATTCATTATTGCTTTTAAAAAAAAAAATTTTAAATGTTCGTAATTTAAAAAGAAATAAAAATTTAACAAACATAATCACCAAATATGTTCGTTACTTTATGTAACGAACATCTTTGACGAAGATGAATGAAATAAAGTGACTCAGTTCAAATATGTTAAAACTGAGAAGCTTATTTAATTCGTATTTACTATGTTAAATCTTTTAAAGTTTCGATACAATACATTTCAAAATTATTTCTGTGAAAAAACACATACTTTTTTTACTTCAAGAAATAGTTTATGACATTTTTGTGTATTGTAGTGTACATTTAAAAAAAGGAGAATTTTATTTGAAGAGTGAAAAAACTATTTTTTTTTTCTTATAAAATATTATAAATTAAAATTATTTTTCATTAAACTAGTGAGAAGGTTAGTTTTTGTAAAAAAAATACTATTAGTTGAAAGCAAAATTTAACACATTTTCTGATAATAAATGATAATACCACACTTGCTTATATTTATAGCTATTAAACAGAAATAGCTTTTGCGCACTATTTTATTTTAACTGAGTTAATATTGTTTTATTTGTATTATTTTCTTCAAATGTTTTAAAAGTATTCTCTTTTATTTCATTGAAAAAACTCAATAATATTTTAAATTGAAACTTTTTAAATATTTTAATCTATTATTTATTAACTTTTTACAAGATGTTATTTTTTATTAATGGTAACTTTTTTCCAAGAACAGAAGCAATAATGTTTCATTATATCCTAAGTATAAAACCAAAGAATTTCTTTCTGTTCTACAATAAATTAAAGTACAAAATTTTTATTTATTTCAATTTTTATTGATATCTATCAATTTTCATATAAGCGTTGTTACTAAATCTCAAGTGGAGACAATTTTATTATTAAGAGTGTTAATATGTTGTCGCATTTTTGCTTAACTATTTTATATTAAATGGCTCTAAATAATTGTACTTTTTATTCTAAAATTTCTCATGAAACGTTTGTCTAAATTTCACTTTCTACATAAACAGCAGACGAAAATTATTCTTGGAACAAAATTTCGAGTACGTGTATAATCAATTTCTGCGTTTTTAGTTACAGTAATGATTACATATAAGTTTTAATTCAACAGTATGTAAAAAGTCAAATTTTAACTCAAAAATCTGTTCGTTTGTTTTCTGTGTGCATATTTTTATATTTTTGTTATTGGAATATATATACATAAACATATCTGCAAAATAAATAAGAATTTATTTTGCTTTAAAAATGTTTTTACTTTTTTAATTTATAAAATTCTAAATTTTTATTGATTACTGGAAAGAAATTGTAAATTTACTTTGTTAGAACAGTTTTGAAGTTAGTCACATTTCTATATCTAAAATTGATTTTGTGTTGCAACCTTCTGAATATAGCTTAAATATAGCCATCTAAATATAAGACTAGAACAAAATGAAATGTAGTCTGAAATGATATTAAGTTTATGAAATAATAGTGGAATCGTATTTTTCAAGCTTAAAAACGAGCCAATATTGAAGATCGATTACTCGTAGTTGACTTTCCCCCATGGTAACTCTGCGGTGAAAGTAGTTTTACAGTAAATTCCGCTATCTCCTTGGTGAAAGGACCAATCAGGGAAAAACACTTTATGTACTAGTAGGTATAGGGTGCATAAATATTTATAAAAATAATGAGTCCACGAATTTTTTTCTTTAGTTTTTTTTTTAACGTAAAAAAATAGAAAAAGCATTATTTCAAGTAACAAGGTTAATACATATGAACAAAAAGTATTAAATAATTTAAGTGTTATGAATAAAAATAACTGCTCTAATAAATAATAAATATGTGTGGAAACTGGTGTTATTTTCGTGTTACTTTTTTTTAAAAAAGGAAATATAATTTACACCTTTAAAAAAACTGTGATAATTTTTTCAAAATTATTAATGAAAAAAACCTGAATATTAAAAAAAAAAAAAACATTAAGTCAAAAATATTTTTTATACAACATAAGTATTTAATACATTCTTTTGGGTTTTTCTGTTTAAATTTAATTTTATTGATAATGAAAGTTTTTTACAAAGAAATAATGAAAGAGAGATTCACGCAAATTATCATAAAAAAATAATAAAAGTCTTCTATATGAAAAACATAATAAAAAATAATAAAAGTCTTCTGTATAAAAAATATAATAAAAAATAATAAAAGTCTTCTATATAAAAAATATAATAAAAAAATAATAAAAGTCTTCTATAAAAAAAATATAATAAAAAATAATAAAAGTCTTCAGTATAAAAAATAATTAACGTCTTAAGAGACTGAAAAAATAATTAAAAAAGCCTTAAACTGGATAAGGGTGGTGAAACTTTTAAATTATAATTTCTCATTAACTGTATTCAAAATAATTCTTTGATAATAAACATGTTTCAGTTAAACACAGTTTAGTTTTAAAGACAAGTGTTTTAAATTTTATTAATTATACAGTTATTGTATATCAGTAATGAAGGAAGATTTGTTCTACCGAGTGTAACTTAAAATAATTAATTTTTTTTTCAGTAGTTTTTGTGATCTTAACTAGTTTATTCTGTTTTGAATAAATAATCGACAAATTATCACTCAATCTAAAACATTTATTAGCAATTTGAGCTTTAAAAAATAACTTTGATTTCATTTGTTCAGTGATTAATTTTTAATAATTAAATTTTAATCATTTTAGTAAAAAATATTTACTATTTTAGTTATAATATTCTTTTTAAGTATCATTAAGTATGGTTAAAACAATTTTTTACACGCTTTGGTTGGTAAGTGCAAAATGTGATTTAAATCAAAAGAGTCAGCTTTAAATTAAATAAATCAGTTTTTTTTTTTTTCAAATCATAATTTTTGCTAACTTTGGAAATTATTGTTAAAAATGTTTTTAAAAAATTTTAAGCTATTTTAAAATGAGTTTTCAAACAGCAGACGAGTTATTTGATAATAAAATTTTTATATAATTTGGTTGTTTATGTCATCCATATAAATTAAAAAATAGAAGGAAATTGACGTTAGAAGGAAATAAACGTCAAAAACAATGAAATTAACTTTTTTTCGTAACAGAAGTGACTAATCATTTCTATTCTCTTTTTTATTTACGATATGTAATGAGTTATAATCTGCAAGAAACAAAAACAATAATTGCTATTTAGATTAAATATACAAATAAATGATGCAAAAACAAAGTTTATTTTGATGCTCAAAAATATCGTTTAGATTCATTTGTTTCTTCCATCTAAGGATGCAATTAAATTAGATTAATTATTTAAGTTTGTGACCATTTTCTCTTGTTAAAGTAATAAAAAATTTTATTTTATCATTTTCTGAAGGGTATATCCAAATTAAGTTTCGAACATAACTCACAAACCTAAATCTTCTAAATCTACATAATCATCGCTATCCACTAAACTTTTCATGTCTATAAGCTTTTGAAAATATAACGTTTAAGTTCGCATCAAATGGTCTATAGATCAATTAGATTGATTTATTAACAGCACATAGTATATTTCCTTCAGCAATCTGAAATCGAAAAAAGAAAAATCGTTTTTATTATTTGTTTTGCTTCCGGGAGGCATCCCATGTGTTAACCAAAGTGAAACGATCGTTGAACTTCATCGTCATTGACACATCGTTTGACTTGAGATAGTTAATGAGGTGTGGAAACGATCGCAAAAAACGACAACCACGCGTTTAATTCGCATGATGAAGTTCGCACGTCGCATTATCCATTTCCGTATTCTTACATTAAACTCATTCCACATAAAAAATAAAAATATACTATGGCACGAAAAAATCTTTTCTTACAGAAATATTTTTAATAACTATTAATTGTTGATATTAAACTAAGCTTTATTAAATAACTACTTAAAATTACTAGCTACAAGTGAAAGGCAACCAACAATAAAGAATAGTCTAAAGTCTTAGAGAAGGCCAGAGCTCTGCAAGGGCTATAGCACCAGGATGATGATGATAATTTAAATATTATATTCTCAACTTAACTTGAGGTTATGTTTAATTGCTGAACTTGAAGCACTATAGCGATAAGAAACACCTTTCCCAAACTTGATATTTTTGTATCTAATTTTTCCTCAGTATTATTTGCAAATAGGTACTTTGCAAGTTTATGGAATCTGTACTAGATCACATCAAGATACGTAAGAAAGATATCTTGTTGCTTCCTCTAAACTCATGCTATTATTTTTATTCTTTTTATTCTCTTTTTTACCAAAAGCGTCCTGAAAGACACTCTGAACAATTTTAAAAAATGTAGCTTTCTATCAGTTCTAAGATGTTGATGATAACGCATTTTGCATTCCTTGCGTATTTGCTTGTTTTTTTCCTGTGCGTGGTATTTTTCGTGGTTTTTGGACAATTTTTCATTTTTCAGATTTCTTTTTCTTTTTTCTTTTTAATCATTTTTTATAAATTTTATATGATATTTTTCGAAGCATATTTTGCTTGTGAATTTTCTTTTTCATGTATTAATATAAGTTTTGTATTGAAACTTGTTACATTTGAAATCATTCAATAACAAGTATAGATGTTAAACGAAGTTGTTAAAGATATAAAAAATTTGATTTTGGATAATAGGCAATCTTTTAAT